AAACTTCCATGACGAAAGGAAAAACACAGCAAGACACATAATAGTAAAGCTCCCAAGAATCCAGGACAAGGAAAAAATAATGAAGCTGACAAGAGGGAAGAAACAGATAACATTCAAAGGAAAACCAATCAGGCTGACATCAGACTTCTCTGAAGAAACACTACGGGCAAGGAGAGAGTGGAGGGACATAGTCAACAGACTCCAAGAAAACAGATGCCAACCAAGAATACTCTATCCCGCAAAGCTCTCTTTCCTCCATGAAGAAAGAATATGGACCTTCCCAGACAAAGAGAAACTCCGGAATTTCATTACGACTAAACCCCCACTCCAAAAAATACTACAAGGAATCCTAAAGCCAGAACCTCAGAGGGACGAATAACAACGAAAGAAGACCAAAAAAAAAAAAAAAAGTTATTAAAAGAATAAATAAATAAAATCAAAGGAAAGACAAACATAATGGCAAATACAGATGCTAACATATCAATATTAACTCTAAATGTAAATGGACTAAACTCTTCAATAAAAAGACACAGAGTTGCAGCCTGGATTAAGAAACAAAACCCAACCTTTTGCTGTCTCCAGGAAACACATTTAGCTACAAAAGATAAAAATAGGCTCAAAGTCAAAGGATGGAAAACAATCCTACAAGCAAATGGGCCAAAAAAGAAAGCAGGAACAGCTATACTTATATCAGATAAAACAGACTTCAAACTCAAAAAAATAGAAAGAGACCCCAATGGTCACTACATTATGATTAAGGGGACAATACTTCAAGAAGAAATAACACTCATTAACATATACTCACCAAACGAAAGAGCACCAAAATATATCAGACAACTGTTGTCCTCTCTGAAAACAGACATCAGAGAAAACACATACGTAGTGGGAGACTTCAACACACCACTATCAACAATGGATAGATCAACAAGACAAAAAATAAGTAAAGAACTAAAGCTCTAAATAAGGACCTAGAGCATTTGGGCTTAACAGACATCTATAGAACACTAAACCCAAAAAAAACAGAGTACACATTTTTCTCAAGCGCACACGGATCATTCTCCAGGATCGATCACATACTGGGGCACAAGACAAACATCAACAGATACACCAAGATTGAAATCATACCAACCATCTTTTCTGACCACGAAGGCATCAAACTAGAAATAAATCATAAAAAGAAGACAAGGAACTATCCTACCTCATGGAGATTAAAAACCACACTACTGGAAGACCACTGGACTAACGAGGAGATCAAAGAAGAAATTAAAAAATTCTTTGAATTGAATGACAAGGAGGACACCAATATCCTAAATGTATGGGATGCAGCAAAAGCAGTAATAAGAGGAAAATATATAGCAATAGAAGCTCACATCAAAAAACAAGAAAGAACTCAAAGAAACAACCTAATCTCGAAGCTCAAAGATCTAGAAAAAGAACAACAAAAAAACCCCAAAACCAGTAGAAGAAAAGAAATAATAAAAACCAAAGCAGAAATAAATGAAATTGAAACTAAAAAAACAATCCAAAAGATCAATGAAACCAAGAGCTGGTTCTTTGAAAAAATAAATAAAATAGACAAACCCCTAGCCAGGCTCACAAAGGAAAAAGGGAGAAAGCACAAATACACAGGATCATAAATGAAAGAGGAGAAATCACAACGGACACAGCAGAAATCAAAAGAATAATCAGTAACTACTATGAACAGTTATATGGAAACAAGTTCAACAATCTAGAGGAGATGGACAAATTCCTACAACTCTACAATCACCCAAAGCTAGATAAAGAAGAAATAGAACACCTAAACAGACCAATTACAAGCAGCGAAATTGAAATGGTAATCAAAAACCTCCCCAAAAACAAAAGCCCAGGACCTGATGGATTTACAAATGAATTCTACCAAACAATCAGAGACGAATTAGTGCCTATCCTTCACAAACTCTTCCAAAAAATTGAGAAGGAAGGGACAATACCAAACACGTTCTATGAAGCCAATATTACACTAATACCAAAACCGAATAAGGACAACACAAAAAAGGAAAACTATAGGCCAATCTCCCTAATGAACACTGATGCAAAAATCCTCAATAAAATTTTAGCTATCAGAATCCAACAATGTATCCATAAGATAATTCACCACGACCAAGTTGGATTCATTCCAGGGGCACAGGATGGTTTAACATCCGAAAATCAATCAACGTTATCCAACACATCAACAAAAAGAAATATAAAAACCATATGACAATATCAATAGATGCTGAGAAAGCTTTCGACAAAGTGCAACACCCATTCATGATAAAAGCCCTTGAAATTCTAGGGATAAAAGGAACATACCTCAACATCATAAAGGCCATCTATGACAAGCCAACAGCCAGTATCATTCTCAATGGTGAAAAGCTGAAAGCAATTCCATTAAGATCTGGAACAAGACAAGGATGTCCACTGTCACCACTGCTTTTCAATATAATACTGGAAGTTCTAGCCAGAGCAATAAGACAAGAGAAAGACATCCAAGGAATCCACATAGGAAAAGAAGAAGTCAAACTATCACTATTTGCAGATGATATGATAATATACATAGAGAACCCCAAAATCTCCACAGAAAAACTAATTCAACTCATCAATCAATTCAGTAAAGTGGCAGGATACAAAATCAACACGCAAAAGTCAGTAGCCTTCCTATACACAAACAATAAATCTGAAGAAGAAGAAATCAAAAAAACCATCCCTTTTATTATTGAAACAAAAAAAATCAAATATTTGGGAATAAATCTAACAAAAGAGGTAAAGGACCTATACAAAGAAAACTATAAAACACTGTTAAAAGAAATAGAAGAAGACACAAAGAAATGGAAAGACATCCCCTGCTCATGGATTGGAAGAATAAACATTATTAAAATGGCCATCCTACCAAAAGCAATATACAGATTTAATGCTATTCCAATCAAAATCTCAATGGCATTCTTCAAAGAAATAGAACAATTATTGATGAAATTCATATGGAATCACCAAAAACCCCGAATAGCCAAAGCTCTACTGAAAAAAAAAGAAGGAAATGGAGGCATCACACTCCCAGACTTCAAACTATACTACAAAGCCATAATCATCAAAACTGCATGGTATTGGCACAAGAACAGACGTACAGACCAATGGAATCGAATAGAAAATCCAGAAATAAACCCACAGATTTATGGTCAACTAATCTTTGACAAAGGAGCAAAGAATATGCATTGGAGCAAAGAAAGTTTGTTCAATAAATGGTGCTGGGAAAACTGGGTCGCTACATGCAAAAGAATGAAGCTTGACCACTACCTCACACCATACACAAAAATCAACTCAAAATGGATTAAAGAACTAGACATAAGACCTGAAACCACAAAATACATAGAAGGAAATATAGGCGAAACACTACGGGATTTGCATATCAAAGACATCTTTACAGACACATCACCCAAAGCAGTGATAGTGAAGGCAAAGATAAACAGATGGGACTACATCAAATTAAAGAGCTTCTGCACAGCAAAAGAGACAATAACCAAAACAAAGAGAAACCCCACCAACTGGGAGAACATTTCTGCACCCAACACTAATGATAAAGGACTGATCACAAAAATCTGCAAAGAGCTGATGAGACTCAGCAACAACAAAGAAAACAATCCAGTCAAAAAATGGGCAGAAGAGCTAAAAAGAAACTTCTCTGAAGAGGAAATGCAAATGGCCAACAGACATATGAAAAAATGTTCAACATCACTTGTAATCAGGGAAATGCAAATCAAAACTACCATGAGATACCATCTCACACCAGTGAGAATGGCACATATTAAAAAAACTAGCAACAACAAATGTTGGCGAGGTTGTGGAGAAAAAGGAACTCTTCTGCACTGTTGGTGGGAGTGCAAACGGGTCCAACCACTATGGAGAGCTGTGTGGAGATTTCTGGACCTACTAAACATAGAGCTTCCATATGATCCAGCAATTCCACTCCTAGGTATTTACCCAAAGGACACAGAAACATCAATTCCAAAGAGCACCTGCACCCCTATGTTTATAGCAGCACTGTTTACAATAGCTAAGCTTTGGAAACAACCCAAATGCCCAAAAATAGATGACTGGATCAAGAAGATGTGGTACATATATTGCTGCAGGAGGCCTTGATGCCCCAGCCAGATAAGACACTGGCAAGCAGTGAAGCCCAAAGGGCCTCACACTGTGGGGCTGAAGCTAAAGGGCCTCACACCGTGGGGCTGAAAATTCCTTGTGCCTCACACCGTGAGGTTGAAGATGTAACATTCCTTCACTTTTTGTTCTTGGTCATAAATAAAAAATTTCCCAAAAAGGTACATTAGGCACTATATTATATACATCAGTATATTACAAATAAACGACATAAAAAATTAAAAACTAATTATTAAACAATTTGGCCTACTTAACAATAAAAGACAACTTATTAAATATGCCTGACAAGCATTACAATACAATAATCATAACAGGTCCTTCTATTTTGTTTTCTCTTAAAGTTTCTTGGGAAAGTTTTTAATATAAAACTATTTGAGTTAAAAAATTTCTAGGTAAAAAAAGTTCTAATAACTAAACTACAACTGGTCTCCGGCTAAAGGTCATGTAAATAAAATAGTCCTTTAATGCTTAGGCTTTAGCTAATAAAAATGCACTGGCGTTTATTCACTGTTTTAAATAATTGTCTAAATAAAAAAATAAGTAGCTTTAATGTTAGGTTTGGTTTATTATCTGTTAACCTTGAAAGCTGCCGTCTAGCTGAGACCTGTTGGGGCCAGTAGTCTATGAAAAACATAATATACTAATTGTTTATGCTTTACACATAATAATGTATTTTCTTATTATTATTACTAATAATAAATAAATAAAAACCTGCTGAGTCTCTCGGCAGAAAATACTAACACCTCACCAAGTGTCAGTGTCTCCTCATTCTACCTCATCCCCTTCCCCTCAGCCCTTAAGTTTTCAGTTCTTTCGTTTTCGCCTAGGTCGTCTCATCCTTTCAGGAACCCCTGACACGACGTTTTGCTGGAGGCTGGTCCCCGGCAAGTGGCGCCCGAACAGGGACTTGAAAGGTAAGATTTCTTTCCCGTGCGGGGATGGCTAGGATCTGCTCCATAGGGTAGGGCGCATACCCGCCTGTAGAGAAAGCAGGTTTGAGGGGAGCAGTAAGTCAGAACCGTAATAAGGCGAGTGAGTGTCTTATTACGTGATAAGGCGAGTGAGTGTCTTATCGTTGAGAAGCATTGGGCCATATTGAGTCTAAGGAAAGAGGACTCTTTATTGATCTAAGTATACTTGTTAAGAGAGGCCTTAAGACCTCTCATGCGCAATTGGCTAGTTTCCTAAATTTTGTTGAGATGTGTTGTTCTTGATTTCTAAAATGACAGAAAAAAATTATGGCTGTCTGCATGCCTAAAGGACATCAAAGAGGACTCAACTAACAGCCCCGTATTAACAAAACAGTATTAGAAAAAGTGATCAGGATTCTTGGGATAGTGAAATTGTTTTTCAAAAGCCAAAACTTGATTCTAGAGCTAGTACTGACCTCTTTGCAGAGGCATCGGCTCCCAATTATGAGACCATTCCAAAATCCAGCCCAAATTTCCAGCCCCGACTTGGCTAAAATTGTTAAAATAAAAATAAAAACTCAAAAACAAGTAAAAAATAATGTGTCATAATCTTAAATAAAAAAAAAATAGTCCAATCTTTTCCTGTTAATTATTTGGGGAGGAGGCTAGGTTCCCCCTGGTGGAGTTTTGCCGTTGTTTCTTTTAAAATAAATAAATAAATAAGACATTTCTAAATAATAATATTCAAAGTTCATTCACAATTGGTAAAGTAATAAAAAATGGTTAAATATGACTATGTAAGATTATATAACTATAATATAACTAAAAGGTTTTTATTAAAATAATATAAACCCACTGCAATGGGCTGGTGGGGGCTGCCCTTGATCTCAACAAGCAGCTGCCTGGACTTTTTCTCCAGTGTTGGGATCACTGGCAGGTCTCTACTGTCTTCCTGCTGTGGGGGACTAAACTTATCTATTGTCCACCTTAAAAAAACTATTTTGGTTCATTATACAAAAATAGTTCTATTTCCCTGTGTTTCTCTAATTTTAAAGTCTAAATTGTCTTAGGCAAAAACTGTTGAGTTACTTTTGACTTGCTAACAAGCTACACAAAATACTTATTGGTTAAATAAAGCTTTTAAATTTACTTATTGAACCTGTGAAAAGTTAAGTTTCTTGTTAAAACTAATTAACCTAGTAAAATATAAAGTAATAATACAGACATTTTTGAACAAAATTCTAAACCTCAGTATCTTCACACATATTGGTAAAATAACTATGTCTTAAATATATACACATGGCCAAAATTTTAAATGTATATCAAAAAATCTCTGTGTCTGTTTGTGTCTGCTTTTGTGTTTTTGTTTTGTTTTGTTTTTTACCTCCGGAGGACCAATCATAAACGGCGCCTATATAAGTTCTCATAAAAACAAATTTTAAAATCATAAACAAAAATTTTTGATATACAAAAACTAGTTCAAGTTTTATCATAAAATTCAAAACATATATACATTAAAGTTATGTTAAATATTAACAATTTACTGTTTAAATGTATCTTTAAAATATTTTTCTTTTCTTGACTAAAAAAATGTGTGTGTGTGTATATATATATATATATACTTACATATGTAAATTTTTTGTCATATTAACATTATCAAGTAAAACTAAACTATACTGTTTTTAAGTCAATTTTAAAAAACTACAATGTTTAAAGTAGTATTTTGGGGTAACAAACACACAAAACACCTCCTTGTGTTCTGAATTACTAAAAAAAACCCACTATCATAATTTGTTAAAAGTTTTAGTAATGTCTATTTTAAAAAAAAAAAAACAATTAAAAAATTGTTAGACACCGTGCTGATGTTACTTGCATAACAGGGCATAATTAGCCTAACACCTGGCCCACAAAAGCCACGCCCTTTACTTTGGTTGGACTGGGATCAGCACAAAATGGGGCAAAAAGTTCTCAAATTTTAAATAAAAATAATGGACAGGTGTCCGGGACTTCTCAACCTTATGTTATTCCTTCCCTTTCTATAACATTATGGGGAAAAACTGTGTTATCGCAAATAAAAACTTTAATTTTCAGCCCTAATAATATAGTTACATCACAAATGTTGCAAATGGGCTTTCACCCTAACCAAGGGTTAAAAAAAAAATCTTTATGGGAAAACAACTCCAATTGAGCCAGTTCCCAAAAGTGCTAAGGCCGGTATGGGGTACCGTCAAAATTTAACCTAGGGGCCATTGCTCAAGTTGCAGCCAACCCAGTCACCTAAAAAAATAATAAACCAGTGTGGGTTGAACAGTGGCCTCTTACAAAAAAAAAAATACAAATTATAACAAACCTAATACAAAATCAATTAATACAAATCAATTAATTTTAAAACCATAAAATACCCCAATTTTTATTATTAAAAAAAATCAAAAAAATAAAAACTATTACAAAATTTAAAAACAATAAATGTTACTATACAAAATATAAAATGCTTGCAACCAGGCTTGCCATCACCTGTGGCCATCCCTAAAAATAAACATGTTATTGTTATTAATTTACAAAATTACTTTTTTACCATCCCTTTACATCCCCAAGACTGTAAAAAATTTATATTTAGTGTCCCATCAGTAAATTTAAAAAAACTGTTTCAATAAAATAAATAAAAAGTTCTCCCTCAGGGCATAAAAAACAGTCCAACTTAATGTCAAAAATTTGTAAATATGGTTTTGTCATCCTTTAGAAATGAGTACCCTTCCATTTACTGTGTTCATTACAGTAAAAAAAATGTCAACAATTAATAAACATTAAAATCCTAACCAACTGAACTCTAAACCTCAAGCTATGTAAAAAAATCTCATTTCTGGAACATAAAAAGGCCCTAATGTGTTATTAACAAATGGGAGAGACTATGCTTATATCTTTCCACAAAATTCAAATGGCCCAATTTGGATTCCTGACAGACTGATCCGACACCATGTTTCAAAAGCCTTCACCGACACATCGCCCCAAGATACATAGGTGCAGCCCTCTGGGACCCTATCCACCTCCTCCAAGATGCCATTGCTCCAGATCCCCTGCTGGAAAATCATCATCTTCCCTGCACCACCTTCGGGTTTGTAAGACGTCTTATCATAACAATTAAAATCTGCTCAAAAACCTAACCTCTAATGCTCGACAGCTACTTGTACAACAAAATACACACATCATCCTGGATCCCCCCTTTTTCCATCCCACTCCTTGGGGATTTCCCTCGCTCCGTGTGTTCACTAATTATTCTGATTTACTAGGTAAAAATTCAGACTCTTTTGTTTTATTTAAAAGCACTAATAACTTTTCTTTTCAGGGACACATAAATTCGCCTCCTATGTGTTTTACATCCAATCCTATCTATATAAAGTCTCAACTACCTGGCTGCCTACCTATTAATAACAAATATTTTTAAACAAAATCTCCAAAAGCCTTCCTCCTCCGGACCTAACCATAATTTATGGGTACTGCTTTTATCTCTCCTTGGTCCTCACAGCACTAATAAAAACATAGCTCGAGCTTCAGTGTCCTCCACTCTCCCAGCCTGTTCAATTTACAACTCAAATAACTCCCGAAATACTATTGACAAAAATCATGGATTTCCCACTTGACATACTTGTACGTTTCCCTCTGCAGGACTTCGCTACCAGCCTTACCAAACTAATCTTTCTGTTTATGATTTTTCAGTGCTTGGAACAGGTACATCCGCCACTAATGTCCCCGAGGACTATAGGTTTCTCCTGCAGGACGCTCTCATCTACAACCGGTCAAATCACTTCATTCCACCTCTAAAACCTGTCACCCAGTGGTATTCAGCTGGATGGATTACTCCCGCCTACATTGTCAACACTTCAAATGGTTCCCGTGCATACCCGGACTTGTTTCACCTCCTTGCCGCCACTTCACCTGTGCGTTTTCGCCGACCTGGACATTCTGTTAATGCTTCCACCGTAGGGACTTGTGTGGGCCCCCCTTATACCCTCCTTGTTGAGGGCCCCAGACTATTAACCATTACTTATCATCACCATGTTTTTCATGTTAATTGTACTAACTGCATTCTCACCAACTGTATTACCTCTGTTGACTCATTGTCTAAAACTACTTTTGTTATCTTACATCAACCTCCTTATGTCATGCTCCCTGTAAACTTACAACAGCCATGGTATCACGACATTAAACTGTATACTCTTCAGCTTGTGGGACAGGGACTACGTCGCTCTAAAAGGTTTGTAGCGGCACTTATACTAGGTATTACGACACTTATTGCTATTATTAGTTCTGTTGCTGTTTCTACTACTGCTCTCGTGCAACAAGTTCATACTGCCTCCCATGTTAATGATTTGTCTCGTAACATCACACACACTTTAATTATCCAAGACCACGTTAATAATAAGTTTAAAACTCGTTTAAATGTTCTTGAGAAATCACTTTTACATATTGACAATCAAATTCAACACATAAAAACACATTTAACTACCAAATGTCATTCTAATTACAAATAAATTTGTGTCACTCCACATGTTTATAACTCTTCTTCTGTTTCTTAAAATAATGTCAAAAATCATTTACTGGGTGTTTAAAATAATACAAACATTTCCCTGAACCTTACTGCTCTGCAAAAAAATATTAAAACAATTAATTTAGCTCATGCCCCCTCCTCCACACCTACAAAAGTTACTACTTCCTTCCTGGCTTCCTTACAACATTATACCACTAAGGCCGCCTGGTTCCCATCATTTATTACTTTAGGTATTGTTTTGCTTGTCACCATAATTATATTAATACTCTTCCCATTGTTTATTAAATTACTTTTCCGTACTATCAATCAAACACGTGTTAAATTACAAACTATACAAATAATGGCCAAAAACAAAAAAGAAAAAGGTGCTGCAGGAGGCCTTGATGCCCCAGCCAGATAAGACACTGGCAAGCAGTAAAGCCCAAAGGGCCTCACACCGTGGGGCCAAAGCCAAAGGGCCTCACACCGTGTGGCCAAAGCTAAAGGGCCTCACACCGTGGGGCTAAAAATTCCTTGTGCCTCACACCGTGAGGTTAAAAATCTAACATTCCTTCACTTTTTGTTCTTGGTCATAAATAAAAAAAAATTTCCCAAAAAGGTACATTAAACACTATATTATATACATCAATATATTACAAATAAACGACATAAAAAATTAAAAACTAATTATTAAACAATTTGGCCTACTTAACAATAAAAAACAACTTATTAAATATGCCTGACAAACATTACAATACAATAATCATAACAGGTCCTTCTATTTTGTTTTCTCTTAAAGTTTCTTAAAAAAGTTTTTAATATAAAACTATTTAAATTAAAAAATTTCTAGGTAAAAAAAGTTCTAATAACTAAACTACAACTAGTCTCCGGCTAAAGGTCATATAAATAAAATAGTCCTTTAATGCTTAGACTTTAACTAATAAAAATACACTGGCGTTTATTCACTGTTTTAAATAATTGTCTAAATAAAAAAATAAGTAACTTTAATATTAGGTTTGGTTTATTATCTGTTAACCTTAAAAGCTGCCGTCTAACTGAGACCTGTAGGGACCAGTAGTCTATGAAAAACATAATATACTAATTATTTATGCTTTACACATAATAATGTATTTTCTTATTATTATTACTAATAATAAATAAATAAAAACCTACTAAGTCTCTCGACAAAAAATACTAACACCTCACCAAGTGTCAGTGTCTCCTCATTCTACCTCATCCCCTTCCCCTCAGCCCTTAAGTTTTCAGTTCTTTCGTTTTCGCCTAGGCCGTCTCATCCTTTCAGAAACCCCTAACACGACGTTTTACTGGAGGCTGGTCCCCGGCAATATATACCATGGAATATTACTCAACATTCAAAAAAGATAAACACATGCAATTTGCAGCAACATGGATGGCGCTGGAAGGGATCATGCTCAGCGAAATAAGCCAAAAAGAAAAAGAAAAATACCGGATGGTCTCACTCATAGCAGGAATCTAGAAAACTTAAATAAGGGACCAGGAAAATGAATATAAGAAAGTGAAAATCAAAATCAACAAAAAACTATGAACCAGAGACACTTTTTGGGGGGTGGGGGGCGGGAGGGGAAGGATTGGGGTCAGAATAGGGTGTTTGCAATTGTACGGGGGAATATAAAAATAAAATTTATTATTTAAAAAAAAAAATAAAAAAAAAATAAAAAAAAAAATAGAATAGGGATCTTTGCTTCAACCGAGATTGCTTGGAACTGGGAGAGGACTGCCCCCACAGCCAGAGGCGAGCTGAAGGCCCCCAAAAGCCAGGTCCTGCCTGGCATTAGTTGGAGCCCAGAGGGGGATCCAGTGATTTGGAGCCCATGGAGCAATCCAGCCACCCCACCTCCAGGGCAGTCTGTGGGACCTCAAGACACACCTCTGGAATTAAACAAATACAGAAGGAGGAGATACTCTGTGACAGTGACCATTAACATATCATAGTACCACTGCCCTACTGGACTTCTTTTGACTCTATTGGACCACCAGTTTCCGACCACCCAGAAAGAGCACACCAAAAAGATGCTGGCCAGTACCAGTGACACAGTGTCCCAATGCATAGGACAAATTAGAAAACAAGCAGCAGGAAGAAGAAAACTACAAGCAACCAAGCAAGTCCTCAGGGAAAAGACACATCACAAAATGAAAAAAACCCACCAGACTGCAACATCAGTGACTTGGAAGAACTTCTGAGCCTTTCAGAAAGAGAATTCAAAATTGCCATGATTAAAAAATGGACAGAAGTCATAAAGGAAAACAATGATAAGGGAAAAGTAATCAATGATCAGAAGAATGAAATTGAGTCCCTGAAAAGGGAAGTAGAAGAAATGCAGGTGATCAAAGGATTAATGGAGGAGCTAAAGAACTCTGGGAAAAGCAGTGATAGCAGAATAGATGAAATGGAAGAATGAATAAGTACTCTTGAAGACACAGAAATAAGAAGAATCAAAACAGAAAAGGAAAGAGAAGTACGAATGAAAATGAATGAAGAAAGACTTCGAGAACTATCTGACTCCATGAGGAAAGGAAATATAGTGTTATAGGAATCCCAGAAGTAGAGGAGAGAGACATAGGAACAGAGAAAATAGTCAAGGAATGTTGACGAGAACTCCCCAAACATGAAGAAGGAGCTGAAAATAGACATACAAGAAGCAAGAGAAACACCAAACTTTTATGATGAAAGGAAAAATACAGAAAGACACATAATAGTAAAGTTCCCAAGAATCCAAGACAAGGAAAAAATAATGAAGATAACGAGAGGGATAAATAGATAACATACAAAGGAAAACCAATCAGGCTGACATCAGACTTCTCTGAAGAAACACTATAGGCAAGGAGAGAGTGGAGGGACGTAGTCAACAGACTCCATGACAACAAATGCCAACCAAGAATACTCTATCCTGCAAAGCTTTCCTTCCTCTATGAAGAAAGAATAAGGGCCTTCCCAGTCAAACAGAAGCTCTGGAATTTCATTAGAAATAAACCCCCACTCCAAAAAATACTACAAGGGAGTCCTAAAGCCAGAACCAACAGAGGGATGAATAAGAATGAAACAAGACCAAGTAAATAAATAAATAAATAAATAAATAAATAAAGCCAGAGAAAAGACAACAAAATGGCAAATACAGATGCTAACATATCAATATTAACTCTAAATGTAAATGGACTAAACTCTTCAATAAAAAGACACAGAGTCGCAGGTGATTAAGAAACAAAACCCAACCTTTTACTGTCTCCAGGAAACTCACTTAACTTCAAAAGATAAAAATAGACTGAAAGTAAAAGGATGGAAAACAATCCTACAAGCAAATGGACCAAAAAAGAAGGAAGGAACAGCTATACTTACAACAGATAAAACAGATTTCAAACTCAAAAATGTAAAAAGAGACCCAGACGGTCACTACATTATGATCAAGGGGACAATACTTCAAGAAGAAATAACACTCATTAACATATACTCACCAAATGAAGGAGCACCAAAATATATCAGACAACTATTATCATCTCTGAAAACAGACATCAGAGAAAACACATATGTAGTAGGAGACTTCAACAAACCACTGTCAACAATGGATAGATCAATGAGACAAAAAATAAGTAAGGACACTAAAGCACCAAATAAGGATCTAGAGCTCATGGGCTTAACAGACATCTATAGAATACTAACCCCCAAAAAATCTGACTACACATTTTTCTCAAGTGCATACAGATCATTCTCCAGGATCGATCACATACTGGGACATAAGACAAACATCAACAGATACACCAAGATTGAAATCCTACCAACTATCTTCTCTGACCATGAAAGCATCAAACTAGAAATAAACATAAAAAGAAGGCAAGGAACTCTCCTACCTCACGGAGATTGAAACCCACACTACTGGAAGACCACTGGACTAATGAGGAGATCAAAGAAGAAATTAAAAAATACTTTGAGTTGAATGACAAGGAGGACATCAATTTCTTAAATGTATGGGATGCAGCAAAAGCAGTAATAAGAGGAAAATATATAACAATACAGGCTCACATCAAGAAACAAGAAAGAACTCAAACAACCTAATCTCACAGCTCAAAGAACTACGAAAAGAACAACAAAAAAAGCCAAAACCAGTAGAAGAAAAGAAATAATAAAAATCAAAGCAGAAATAAATGAAATCGAAACTAAAAAAAAAAAAAAAACAATCAAAAAGATCAATGAAACCAAAAGTTGGTTCTTCAAAAAAATAAATAAAATAGACAAAAAAACCCTAGCCAGGCTCACAAAGGAAAAATGGGAGAAAGCACAAATAGATAGGATCACAAATGAAAGAGGAGAAATCACAACGGACACAGCAGAAATCAAAAGAATAATCAGAAACTACTATGAACAGTTGTATGGAAACAAGCTCAACAATCTAAGAGAGATAGACAAATTCCTACAACTCTACAAAGCTAGATAAAGAAGAAATAGAACACCTAAACAGACCAATTACAAGCAGTGAAATTGAAATGATAATCAAAAACCTCCCCCAAAACAAAAGCCCAGAACCAGATGGATTTACAAATGAATTCTACCAAACATTCAGAAATGAATTAGTGCCTATCCTTCACAAACTCTTTCAAAAATTGAGAAGGAAGGGATAATACCAAACACGTTCTATGAAGCCAACATTACACTAATACCAAAACCAAAAAAGGACTACACAAAAAAAGAAAACTATAGGCCAATCTCTCCAATGAACACTGATGCAAAAATTCTCAATAAAATTTTAGCTATCAGAATCCAACAATGTATCCATAAGATAATTCACCACGACCAAGTGGGATTCATTCCAGGGACACAAGGATGGTTCAATGTCCAAAAATCAATCAACGTCATCCAACACATCAACAAAAAGAAATATAAAAACCATATGACAATATCAATAGATGCTGAGAAAGCTTTCGACAAAGTAAAACACCCATTTATGATAAAGGCCCTTGAAATTCTTGGGATACAAGGAACATACCTCAACATCATAAAGGCCATATGTAACAAGCCCATAGCCAATATCATTCTCAATGG